CTGCCACCTCCACAGCACTCAGCAAGCAGGGAAGAAGGGACTGGGACACGGATCCGAGTGTGGGACATGGATCAGGGACTGGGACATGGATCTGAGTGTGGGACATGGATCAGGGACAGGGATCTGGGACAGGGATCCATCTCCGGGACACGGGTCGGGGACTGGGATCTGGGACTGGGACAGGGATCGGACTGGGATCAGGGACTGGGACATGGATCTGAGTGTGGGACTGGGATCTGGGACTGGGACAGGGATCTGGTACTGGGACATGGATCTGTGATTGGGAAATGGATCCATCTCTGGGACATGGATCTGGAGTTGGGACATGGATCTGAGTTTGGGACATGGATCTGAGTTTGGAACATGGATCTGTGGTAGGATCTGAGTTTGGGACATGGATCTGAGTTTGGAACATGGATCTGTGGTAGGATCTGAGTTTGGGACATGGATCTGAGTTTTGGACATGGATTTGGGTTTGGATCTGGATTTGGGACATGGAGGAGCCCTCAGGACACTGTTGCTGTATCTCAGGACAGTGTTGATGTCCCTCAGAACCCTCAGGACAGTGTTGGTGTCCCTCAGGACAGTATTGCTGTCCCTCAGGACACTGTTGCTGTCCCTCAGGACACAGTTGCTGTCCCTCAGGACCCTCAGGACCCAGTTGCTGTCCCTCAGCCCCCCAGTTGACCCAGGGGTCGTCCACCAGCCCCTCCAGCCCTTGTCCCTGGGATTGTTCCTCAGGAGAGAGGAGGAGCCAAGTTTGGGAGCTGAGAGTTGGCAGCAGTTTCCAGGAGCTGCGAACTTGTCCCTGCAGGTTCCTGGAGATGTTTGGCTTTCCTTGGCCTGGCAGGTCCATTCCTGCCCCTCCTGGGGCTCCAGGCAGGAGAGGACTCACCCCATGGAAAAATGGGAGTGTGTGTGGAGACCTGGGAAAGGCCAAGCCAACCCCACCATGGGTTTGGGGCTCCAGGTGTGACTGAGACCTCCCAAGGGTTGGTGGGAACAACCACCACAGCTCCAAGGGATGAGGCTGAAGGTCCTTCTGGATCCAGATCCAGAGCAGCTGTGGAATCCCTGGGAATGTTCCAGGCCAGGTTGGATGGGGCTTGGAGCCACCTTGGGCTAGTGGGAAGTGTCCCATGGGATGGGATTTCACCTCCTTCCACCCCAACCCATCCTGGGATTCCATCATCCCATGGGTTTTCCCTCAATCATTTGAGGCTTGAGCAGCTTGTCCTGTTTATTTTCATGTCGTGGGATGGGATGAGCTTCAAGGACCTTCCAACCCAACCCATTCCAGGATTCTGGAGCTTCTCTCCTAGGGAGCCCTGGCAGTGCTCAGCTCCATGGCCCTTCCATCCCAAAAAACTCCGGGAATATCCCTGTCCCAAGCACTCTCATCCTGGCTGGGAGAGCTGGGAATGCTCAGCTGGAGAAGGGAAGCTCCAGGGAGACCTGAAGGAGCTCCAGGAGAGCTGGAGAAGGACTTGGGCCAAGGCCTGGAGGGACAGGACACAGGGAATGGTTTTCTGCTGGAAAAGGGGAGAGTTAGATGGGATTTGGGCAGGGATTCCTCCCTGGGAGGGACTGAGGGGCTGGGATGGATCTTCCAGAGGATTCTCCATCCCTGGAGGGTCAGGGCAATCCAAACCTTTTCCCAGGGAAGGGATGGAATCCCCTTGATCCCGGTGGGATGTGCCCTGATCCCACAGTTCTGCTCGGATTCCCAGTGTGGATTGATCCAGGATTCCATGGTCAATCCTGTCTTTTTTGGTGGGAGGACTGAGCAGGAGCTGAGGGTGTTGTCCCTTGGTGTCTCCACTCCACCCTGAGCTCATCCCAAGCCTCTGGAAGTTGCTGAGCTGGAGCTTTCCGTCCCCTCGTGGAATG